TATCTTTTTATTTTGTCTAATCTGACCTATTTTATATTCTTATGTTATATGCAAGGTAAAGACACGTATTTTTCCTTCTGACTTTTCATTATTCTCTCTAGCTCAATGTTTTATAGCAAATGTAAAGTGTATATATATATATATATATATATATATATCTACACTGCATCTACCCATGTACTACTTCCTTGTCATCTATTGAAGCCACTTTGGTTTCTTACAGATATCAGCTATTATTAATGACTCTACTTCTGTTACACTAATTAAATAAGGATGCTTTTTGTTGTTCTAGAGGCCCACACACACAAAGGGCAATCTAAGCTTGTACATACGTTAGTATACAAGGTTTAAAAAAAAATTCAGGGTTCTGATACAATCAAAATACTCAGGACAACCAATCACAGTCGACAAGGCCTTAGGCTACAACCAGTTTCCTTGCTCTGCTTCTTTTTTTTTCTTTTTCTTTTTCTTTTTCTTTTTCTTTTTCTTTTTGTTTCCTTGCTCTGCTTCAAGACTACTTCAGTCTTTCCTTTGATCCTGACTCAGAGAACTCCTAACCCCTTCCACTTTGGTGCTTTGGCAGTTTGGTCCTGCTTAATTAGAATCAACTTTTACTCAAATTGATAGAATTTTTATTATGCCTCAGTTAATATTGTAACAAGCACTACAATTACATTTGCAACCAACCAGAAAGTTCATCTGTTTTTTGTAGGGTTGGGGGTGGGTAAATAGAAGGTTTTCTCTGGCAAAGCAATGCTCACGGGCCCCTGCACCCTTCCCTCTGCCCTGATAAGCAGCCAAAGCTGCAGGACACACAGGCCCCAAAGGCCCACAGAGGCGGAGATGGGGGAGAGGGAAATGTGCTTCAACCTTTTAAATTAGCTCCCCACCCTGTCATTAGTTTCATTTTGTTTCTTTTATGGGACCACTCCCAGAAGTGCTCAGGGTTTACTCCTGGTACTGTGCTCAGGGATCACTCTTGGTGGGCTCCAGGAACCATATGTGGTACTGGGGATCCAACCTGTGCTGGGCAAAACCAGGTAAGCACCCTACACTCTGAGCTATCACTCTGCCCCCAATTTTATCTTATTTTATTTTATTTTATTTATTTATATATTTTAGCACACCTGGTGGTCATGCTGGGCTATTCCTAGCTCCATGCCAGGGGTGATAAATGCAGGCCTTCTGCGTGCAAACCTCATCTTTTACAGCTATCTTCCATTTTCATGGCCATCTTTGGCTTTATTTACTTATTTATTTATCTCTGCTAGGGATCAAACCCAGACCTCAAACATATTAAGTCAGTGCTCTATTGATGTGCCAGATCCTAGCTCTTTAGTCCTAAAATTAAAAAGAATTTAATTTTAAATTTATTAGCAACCTCAATTCCATCTGCAGCCTTATCAGTCTTTTGCCACATATCCTGCCATATTCTCAAGTTCTGGTGGTAGTGATGGTGGTGGGGGTGGTGGGGGTGGTGTGTGTGTGAGTGTGTGTATTGTAGTCTTTTTCAACCTGTAGAGCTGAGCTGGGGAGGGTTGATTGTTCTCCTAGCACACTCCTTATGAGGAATAAGACCAGCATCAAGAATGTAGGAGAGTCAGCAGCCACTGAGGAGCAAGGCAGTGTGATTGTCACCAGGAGATTCTGTAACCCCGTCACAGAATTGTAGACATCAGAGATAAAGATTTCCCCCCATCTGTGCTGGAATGAAGTTGATTTTTTGTGTATACTTAAAACCACATTATTGTGGGGTTGGTCACATGGTCTTTTGATTCTGCAGAAGCCCATGAAGTCACTTTAGAACTTCCACTTTCTGGGGCTGGAGAAAGAGTACAGCAGGCAGAAAGCTTATCTTGTATGTGACTGACCTGGGTTCAGTTCCTGGCACCACATATGGTTCCCAAAGTCCTGTGAGAAAGGATCCCGGAGCCAGGAGTAAACCCTGAACATGACTGGGTGTGCCCCCTCCCTAATAATAATAATAATAATAATAATGATCGGTCACGGTCCTCCCGTTGTTCATCGATTTGCTCAAGCGGGCCCAGTAACGTCTCCATCGTGAGACTTGTTGTTACTGTGTTTGGCATATCGAATACATCACGGGTAGCTTGCCAGGCTCTGCCGTGCGGGCGAGATACTCTCGGTAGCTTGCCGGGCTCACCGAGAGGGGCGGAGGAATCGAACTCAGGTCGGCCATGTTGGCTGCATGCAAGGAAAACGCCCTACCGCTGTGCTATCGCTCCAGCCCAATAATAATGATGATAATAATAATAAAAGAACCCACACATTATCATGTAAATGCCATGTTTAGGTTAGAATTAGAGCAACTGCTGTCAGCAAAGATGCTTATGCTGTGACATTTCACAGAGATATTAGAGATTACATAAATTTGCATTCATTGTTCTGATACATTTCAAGTCTCTTAGCCAGTAGACCTGCATGCTTCCCCTATGATGATGAAATTTAATGATGGCTTAGCTTTGGAACTTAGTTTTGCTTAGTTTCAATTTTGTAAAAACATTCCTATATCAGATTCCTTAGATTAAAACAAAAATTTTACTCAGTGTCAGTGGATTTGATTTGAGGGATGTATTTTTTATTCTCTTTTGTTGAGATAACATTGGTTTGCAAGAGTGCTTATGTATTTTTTGTATTTGTTTATGCAATTTTAAGTGTAATTTGTTTATGTAATCTTATATAATTTTTCAGGGGGAATTATATTACCATACCCATCACCCAATGCCAATTCTCCACCACTATAATAGTCTGCACCCTTTCAGCCCACTATCCTCACCTTTGGTAATCTCAACTTTGTATATTATACTTTAAAAAAAAATTATTGCGACAACATGGTCTACAATAGTGTTAAAGCTTATGCTTTAAAAATATGGGATTGGGGCTAGAGTGATAGTACAGCAGGAATACGCTTCTCTTGCACACAGCCGACCAGGGTCCAATCCCCGACATCCCATGTGGTCCCCCAAGCACTGCCAGGAGTTGATTCCTGTGATTAGCACTGTAGCACTGTCCTCCCATTGTTCATCAGTTTGCTTGAGTGGGCACCAGTAACGTCTCACAACAAGACTTGTTGTTACTGTTTTTGGCATATTGAATACACCACGGGGAGCTTGCCAGGCTTTGCTGTGTGGGTGAGTTACTCGTGGTAGTTTGGCAGGTTCTCCGACAGGGGCGGAGGAATTGAACCTGGGTCAGCCATGTCAGCCGCGTGCAAGGCAAACACCTTACCACTGTGCTATGACTCCAGCCTGTGATTAGAACCAGAAGAAAACATGAGCATTGCCAGGTGTGGCCCCCAACCACCCCACCTCTCCAAAAAAAAGGAAAAATAAATTAAAATGTGGTGTTTCTTTATAATTATTTGGAGGGGTGAGAGTTGCGCCATATTTAGTAGTGCTCAGGAGCTAGTCCTCCAGGATTACTGTGCTCAAGGATCACTCCTGGTGCTGCTTAAGGGACCATGAGCAGTGTAGGGAATTGAACCTGGGATGGAGGCAAAAACCTCAACCACCTCACTGATTCTCCCACCCCTTGCTACATCTTTATCCACTCGGCTGGCATATGGAACTGGGTTCTTTCCAGATCTTTGTTATTGTGAACAGTACTGTGATGAATACATTATGGACTAGTATTTGTGTTCCTTTGGATAGATACCTAGGAACAGAACTGCTGGATCAGACAATAATTCGATTTAATTTTTTTTTGGAGAAATCCCCGTACTGTTTTCCACAGAAACTGAGCCAAAACATGTTCTCCCCACCAACAGTAAATGAGGGTTCTTTTTCTGAACACCAGCCAGCACTTGTTTGGGCCTTTAAACAAAAATGTTCCCTGACTGTTTCCTGTTTGTTTCTGTTTCTGGTTGATGGAGAGAGTGTGGGGCTCACATACTCGGTTGTGGTACTCGAACATTTTTCATCAGTGCTCCCTGGGGAGACATGCTTGCATGCTTTAGCTGTGGTTCTTGCGCTCTTTCTACAGAGATGGGGTTCCCAGTGCCAAGGGACTGTATTTGGTTGGTGCATGTAGGCTGGGCTTGGCCTCTCGCTTGTGGCTGCTCTCTAGCCCTCCCTGGGCCCCTTTCTGGCCTTTTTGATACAGGCCATTCTCACCTGTCTGAAGTGGTAGCTTATTGTCATTTTGATTTACATTTGGAGCATTGTATTTTCAAACCAGCAGCTCCTGACTGTCCTTGCCCAGGTCACATCTATTTGCCTTCTAAGTCTATGCTGTGTAATTTTATTACCCAGAAACTGAATTTAAACTTTCCCATTAAGTTTCAAGTCGATTACTGAATGTCACACTTGAAAAAAAATATCACGTTTCAGGGCCAGAGAGACGATATAGGAGGTAGGTGCTTGCCTGGGAGAAGATAGATTTTTGTTTATCTAATTTATTATTACTATTATTATTATTATTTTGGCATTTTGGGTCACATTCAGCAATGCTCAGGAGTTACTCTGGGCTCTGCACTCAGGGATTACTCCTGGCAGTGCTCAGGGGACCATATGGGATGCCTGGAATTGAAGCAGGTTGCCTGTATGCCGGGCAAACATCCTACCCACTATACTATTGCTCAGGTCCTGGATTTTTATTTTTATCTATCAATGTCTATGTATATACTACTGATGACGGTGTCATTGCTGTATAAAAAGGGTTAATCAATTTATATCTTATTATCACAGATTGAGCTGAGAGCTGGTAATATCCAGTCTTTCCAAGAAAGTGACCCTATGGCTGAGTCAGTCTTAGCACACTGAGTTGGTTATATAAAGAATACACGGATTGAAAAAAAATAGATGGGAAGGATAGGAGGGGTTACCCTATTGCTTTAGTCTGTCTGCATCCACCCTCTACTAACCCAGGTATCCCCGACATATTTAATCTCTGCCATCTAGAATTACCTTTTAAAATCTGTCTTTATATAACTTTTGGATTGGTTTCACAATCCACATCCTGGTTTGGAGAAAACAGGAACAATGGCTCCCGGGAGAGCTCCTTCAGAGTTCATTGAAAGAGAACGAAAAAAGTTACTTGAACTTCTCCAGCTTGATCCTGATTCTGTTATAGATACCTTAGTTTCTCGCAGGCTGATTTCTGAGGATGAGTATGAAATTTTGGAGAAGATTTCAGATCCTGTGAAGAAAACTCGCAGGCTGCTGATTATAATACAGAGAAAGGGAGAGTTGAGCTGTCAGCATTTTCTCCGGTGTTTATTTAGTACTTTTCCAGAGTTTGCTACCACTTGGAACTTAAAGTACGGTAAGTTGAATTTATGCACTTTTGCGGGAAAGGAGAGGTGAAAGGCAGGAGACAAAAGAAAATGATTCGCTTTTATTTTCATTTGCTTTTATTCCCGGTGAGATGATTTTTACTGAAATATGATGGCGTGGAGGTAAGGGGAGTTAGATTGTATCCAAATTTTAAAAATGTTTTTATTCATAGTGTACCCCATAGACTTAATTGGTTTTAATCATAGTGTACCCCAAACTTGTTTGGTGTTCTCTTGCAGTTATTTCAGTGTTAGTACAAACTGCCCTTTGTTCTGCTAGCAACATCCTGCAACAGTCATGGGTGTAGAGGCCCCTGATAAAGATGGACTTCTTTAGCAAGCAACTGCATTCATAATCCAGGATTAAAAACTGCAGCTTCTATTTAGTAGAGTCAATGTGAAAATATAAAAAAAAATAATTTTTGACACAAACAGTGGATCAGTCATTTCATTTTCTCTGTGACAAGAATGGCAGCAGAACAGAGTTTTCTGCAATAATCCAAATGCTGATTCTTCAGTATTCATTGTTAAGTAGTGACAAATGAGAAAGCAATTCTTCCAGAAGGGATTAGTCTAGGTTATCACTACAGCAAAGCTTAGACTTTAGCTATAGCACTTTTTTTTTTTAGGAAATTAAAAAACCAAGGCCTATTATTTTAAAAGATGTTAAAGAACTACGTTAGAATTTATTAAGATCAGAGTTCACTAGCGATGCCCCTCGGAAGTCTGAGATGGGTTAGGTTCACTGTAAGGATTCACCTTTTCTCTACTCATTCACACAATTAAAGTTCTCACAATTAACTTGTGACCATTTGTGTGGATGGCAGTGGGTATTTCTGTCCTTCAGTGAAAGAAAAGATGCTTTGAGGATTTGGAAATGTGAATTACTATAAAATTGCTTTTTGTTGAGTTTGAAAACAAAAAGGTGTTTGTTTTTTCTTTCCAGAATTTTTAAAATATGAAAACTCAGAGTCTAATCAATGTCTGAAGGTCCCAATTAAAAAAAATCCTGAGAATCCTGAAATCACAGTGCCCTTCAGTGAAAAAGAATATGTGGATTTGGAAACATCTGAGTATTTCATGGACAATAAAACTAGCAATATGGAAACCGCGTGGTTGTCGAAGGAATACAACTCAGCAAAAATCACATTGCCACATTCAGTTGAGAATATTAAATACAAAGTTCCAGCCTTTATTGAGTATTTACAGGATGGACAGAGGTATGAGGAGCCAGATGATTCCTTATATTTAGGGAAAGAGGAATATTTAAAATCCCTTGGGTACTCTGAGGACTTAGAAACTACTGTGGAAGAAGAGAATTATAACAACTCCGAGAGTATCATTTCTGAAGAGCAGGACGACTCTGCATATTCCGAAACCTCAGGGTCTTCTGATGAAGGGCAGAATGAGAAGTCAGAAAACAAGTCATTGGAGGAGGAGGAGAAAAGTACAGAAGGTATGGAAATAACTTGTTTATAGATGGCTAGGCAACAGCTTAGTGTAGGTTGCCATGGCATAGTGGGGTGAAGGGCTGATGAAGATACTAGAAGTCAGCAGAAAGCAACTACTCGGGAATTCCTTAAAGGTGGTTGGTGACAGAGAGGAGAACCCAGAATTTAAAAAATGATGGACAGTATGAACAAAAGCGAATGTTGATTGTCAGTTTATAGGTATCTATGGTCACTTTCTGTCATTTTTTGGTGTTTTTTTTATTTTGTTTTGGAGCCACACCTGACTGTGTTCAGGGTTTACTCCCAGCTCTGCACTCAGAAATTACTGCTGGCAGTGCTTGGGAGACCATATGTGGTGCCAAGGACAGACTGGGGTTGGCCACATGCAAAGCAAACACATCAGTCCCTGTACTGTCTCTTCATCCCCTGTAATATGTTTATGAAGCTGCTGCCATTAATTTTTTTTTTTTATGTAGGAATACTGCCACTGATTAGCTGATTGAATTGGGCATGAACTCCACCTTACTTTTTTTTTCATGTTTTATAACTTTATTTATTGAATCACCTTGAGAGCAGTTACAAAGCTTTCGGGTTTAAGTCTTGGTCCTACAATGAAACACCCGTACCTTCACCAGTGCCCATTCTCCACACCCAAAAACCCCAGTATACCCTCATCTCACACCCTCCCCCTACCTGTGGGGCAGATGATTTCCACATTACTATCTCTACTTTGATTACATTCAATATTTTGACACCAGACCCACAATTATTATTTGGGATTTTACCCCAACACTCATATCTGCTGAAAACAATTTTTTTTTTATTGCTGGTTATGAATAACATATGATGTCGTGTGGCTGTAGTAGTGGCTGGACGATTTTGAAATTCTGAAATTTTTTTTTTGTTTTTTGTTTTTTTCTTTTTGCGTCACACCTGGCGATACACAGGGGATACTCCTGGCTCTGCGCTCAGGAATTACCCCTGGCGGTGCTCAGGGGACCATATGGGATACTGGGAATCGAAACTGGGTTGGCCGTGTGCAAGGTTAACGCCCTACCCGCTGTGCTATTGCTCCAGCCCCAAAATTCTGAAATTTTAACAATTTAATCTGGAGGGATTTCTGCCAAAACCTGCTGGGTTTCGAGATTTGTTCCTGAGTCTCTTGGATCATGGCCATTAAGCAGCTTGATCAGGAGCCAGAAAGTCCATTCGTGGACGGCGACTCGAGGTCTCATTGGGATGGAGCCATTAATTTTTTTTAATTTTTGGGTCACACCCAGCAATGGTCAGGAGTTACTTCTGACTCTGCACTCAGAAATTACTCCTGGCGATGCTTGGGGGACCAAGTGGGATGCTGGGAATCAAACCCAGGTCAGCCACGTGCAGGGCAAATGCCCTACCCACTGTACTATCATTCTGGCCCCCTGGCCATTAATTTTAAAAGTTGCCTTCTATTTACATTAGCATTTTGTAAGTAATAGGATGTTGGGCTTATGGGTCAAATTATTGAAGGAGAAACAGGAGACGAGATTATAGTAATGTATTTGATTCCAAAATATTGTTATTTGGATTATAATCTATTAATATAATCCTTGTGCATAACAGACATGATATCAATATTTTAAATTTGAATATTTCTTTTCTTTTTTTTTTTGAGGTACACAGAGGACCATGGGGCGGTAATCCTGGGGCTCTTGAATACAAAACATGTCCAGTATCTGCCAAGCTATCCTTCCAGGCTTGAGTCTGAATATGACTTAAAGAAAAAGTCAAAATAGGGCTGAAATGGTAATAGTACAGTGGGTAGGGCACTTGCCTTGCTTGTGGCTGACCCAGGTTTGATCTCTGGTATCCTAAGCACCAGAGATTCCTGAGAGCAGAGCCAGGAGTAAGCCCTGAGGCCCTAAGTACCTCTGGGTACTGCCCCAACCCCATCCCTTCCTCCCCACCACCACCAAAGAAAAGTCAAAACAATTCATTTGCTGATTGGAGGAATAGCACAAAGGACTTGAGTGCATGCATTGCATAGGGAAGTCTGGGTTTGATCTCTTGGAGTGCATGGCTTCCCCAACCAATACCAGAAACAATTTCTGGGCATCAAGCATATAGTTCTTGAACATGACTATGTAAATACCCCTCCGCTTTCCCCCAAAAGGACTCAGCTGCTTGAAACAGTGAAAATGGCTTCTGTTTTGATTTTTTGGTTAATTTTGTCTATAATTAGCTGGGCAGTTCTGGTTGACCTGAGTTTATTCATGTATCTGGGATCAGCAGACTGTAAGCTCTAGGGTGGTCTTTCATCTAGCTGGTTTATCTGAGTTTGTTCTCAGACTAGATAAGGCATATTCATATAATAAAAGCAGTGAAAAAAGAAAGAGGAAAAAATGGGGCAGTTAAGAAGATTTAGTCTTGGCTCAGATTTATTATGCCATTGGCATTGGTTTCCTAGGACAGCCATAATCAAGTACTATAAAAGGGTGGATTAGAACAATGGGAAATTGATAGCCTCAAAGTCGTGAAGGTCAAAAACCTCAAACCAAGATGTTAGCAGGGCCATGTTCTCTCTAGGGCTAGAGAAGGGTTTAGTCTACTTTTCGCTATAGCTTCTGGTAACCCCAGTGTTCTTTAACTTGCATGTGGTCAACTTTTCCTATGTCTTTCCGTATCATTTGCCCTCTTGTATGTTCTGTTTTCAATTTTCCCATTTCAATAAGGACACTAGTTACACTGAAGTAGGGTCTACCCTAATGACCTCATTCTAACTAGATCACCAAGGTAAGGAATCAACTTAGAAATAAGGCCACATTCTGAGGTAACAAGAAATTCACCATATCCATTTGTGATGGGTGGTATCACAATTTAACACCATAGTACCATATTTTTACTCCTTTCTGTGGCTAAAGAAAGTCACATAGTCAATTCATAGGTTGAGGAAAACAAGACTCCAACTAGAGGTTAGTATTTATTAGTGGAAAATGGGCACCATTTCCTGTTTCTAAATTTGGAGGGGGCCTTCTATATTCAGGAGCCTCCGAGGCCATACTTGGTGGTTCTGGGGGTTCACGAGGTTGTGTTAGGCATATATAAAGTGTGCACCCTAGACCCTGTACTATCTCTTTGACCTCTAAGTTTTATTGATTTCTGTGTCTATTATCTTTGGATTGTATCTCAAACACTGTACGTAATAAATAACAAAGACTGTGGACTGTAAAATCTATTGAAAGAGTTTTAGGCATTTTTGGGATCTTTTTTAGTTCCCAAGCCTAACTTAACTCATTTGAAATTAAATCTCAATGGCCATTTGCTAAAACCACAGGTAACTTTATATATAGTGACTTGGAAGAATGTATAAAAAATAATATTAAGACAGAAGAAGCTGAAAGATGATATTACAATATTATTTATGTAAAAATAAAGTGGTATTCATTAAGCTTAAGTATAGATTTCTATGTGTCACTCATACTTAGAAAAAAGATGGAAGAAGCATACCATGTTGGCATATCTCTCACAAGTGAAGTGGAATTAGCTGAGAGTAAAAAAAATTTGTTTTGTTTTGTTTTTTGGGTCACACCAAGTGATGCTCAAGGGTTATTCCTGGCTCTGCACTCAGGAATCACTCCTGGGGTGCTCGGGGAACCATATGGGATGTCGGGGATCGAACCCAGGTTGGTCGCGTGCAAGGCAAATGCCTTACCCGCTCTGCCATCGCTCCGGCCCGAGAGTAAAAAAAAATTTTTTTTAATTATTTGTATTGCTTCTTTTCTTTCTCTTTTTGATCTTCAAAGACTATTGAATTCCCTTGGATAAAACCAAATTGTTTTATCTTTTTGCAGTGAAAATGTGTCATTTGATTTTAAAAGTAATTAAATGAAGCTTAGACTCTAAAGGTGTAATTCACTGAACATCTTCTTTTCTACAGAGAGAAAGAAAGTATTTCAAGATATCCTGTCATGTTTGAACATGGACCGAAACCGAAAGCTTCTTCCAGATATAGTTAAACAATTCTCCCTAGAGCGAGGAGGTAGGTGGGCACCCAACACTCCCGGGGACTTAGTTTGGAATTTCCTGATAAAAGTTCAAGAACTGGATGTGACAGCCAGAGACCCAATTTTCAGACAGAAGATTCTGGATAAGGACAGAGAGGGGGACATGCTGAATGAAGTAGAGAATTTGGATATTCAAGATCTACAAACCATTGACCCCCTTGATGTCCTTTGTGTGTCTCTGCTGTGTTCAGACAGCTCTTTGCAACATGAAGTCTTGTCAAACATGTATCAGTGCAAGTTTGCTCTTCCCCTGCTACTGCCTGATGCAGAAAATAACAAAAGCATCTTTATGTTGGGGGCCCTGGGAGACATTATGAGGGAGAAGTCAACACAGTCTTCAGAAGACTCTATCAGGGATTCAGAAAAGTTCCTCCTGCTCACAAAGATGCCTGTCATCTCTTTTGTGCGCTTAGGATACTGTAGCATCTCCAAGTCCACAATCCTCAACACATTACTCAGCCCCACAGAACTGAAGCCACCTAAATTCTTTCTCCATAGGGATTTGCCTTCTCTGATGCTTCCCCGGAGAATCTCTGATGGACTAGTTGAGGTAGTGTGGTGTATTCCTGGTAGGGATCCTCTAAAGAAAAACCCTGGTTTTCTCCGAAATCCTGTTGCTATAGCCAACCTTCGTGGAGATCTGGAAAGCTTGGGGACACAGTTTGGTTTCTTGATGGAAGTTTCCTCAGCTATGTTTATTTTCACTGACTGTTTAGGTGAGAAGGAATGGAACTTGCTAATGTTTTTAGAAAATAGCATTGAAAGATGCTACTTTGTCCTGGGTCCCCAAGCCAGGGGGAGTGAAGAGGGGCAGATTGCCCAGAGGATCCTGAAGTTGAAGTCATCACAACTACTATTTTGGGAGGAAGAAACTGAAGAGGCAGGGAAGAACGTTGAGGGTCTTCAAGCTGCCCTCCAGGAAGTGATGTCCTCTTCACTCAGATGTGTATCCCTGCAAGACATGGCTTTGTTGGCCAGGGAATTGGGGATCCAGGTAGACCAAGATTTTGACAATGTTCCAGGGATTCAAGTTCTCCCTACTGAAAACTTGACTGAAACAATTCAAACTGAAGGACAACCAAGACTCAGTTCATTGAAAACATCATCTGAAAAACCTGTAAAAGAGCCAGGGGTTAGACATGAAGTCAGCCCAAATCTTCACAATTTCCACTCAGTAGACATAGCTCATGTTGATAACGTCTCTCCTTTACCAACTGTAGCTGGAAGGAACTTGAACAAGTTTTCTTGGAAAGCCTCCTGGGTCACAGAATCCCACTTTTGGTCAGGACAGAGGTCTAAGTGGTACTGTCCTTCACCATTTCAGCATAAAAGGGACCATAGTCAAGGTGAAAGTTTTGGGACAAAATACTCCCAACCACAGAGATTTAATTCACATGAAAGATTCTTAAAGTTTGTGAGAACTGTTTGGGGACATCACACGAATGGAATACATGGGAAGTCTCCAAGACCCATTTCTCAGCATGCCCAGGCCCAGCCTGAGGGACCTCTGTCAAGGGAACCTCTTTGGAGACCTGGGTCAGGAGTCTCCCAGATAGGACAGTTCCACCTTCTGGGTACCCAGCCAATAGGAGCGGTTGGGAAGCCACAGCCGAAGCAAGCCTGCACTCAGGGAACACAGCTAATTAAGAGAACTGGAAAACTCTTCACAGCATCATCCTTTCATACATATCCTCGCCTTCAAGCTGAAGCCATGCACAATCCAATAATACCTGCCTCTTGGCAAGAAGACAGGCCAAACACACAGAGTGGCTCTTCAGATATAGCTGCCCAAATGGGATCCCATTATATATCCAGAGGCAATTTTGTATCCAGTTCTCAGTTCAAATCTGATCACAACAAGCCCTCTCAGGTCAAGCACCCCCAGTCTAATGCCTCCCAACTTTCTCCTCACCCTAAACCCTTTCAAGCAAAATTAACTCAGCCCCAGTCCTCCCAAACTAAATGTTCTCCACCCAGAGTAACTCTGTCAAAGTCATGCCATGGCCAGGCCTCTGAGTCTAAGCCATCTCAGCCCCTGTCCTTCCCATCTGTGCCCTCTCAGCCCCAGTCCTTGCAATCTAAGTCTCAGCCCCAGTCCTCTAAATCTAAGATTTCTCATGCCCAATCCTGCCAATCTGAGCCCTCTCCTCCCCAGACCTTCCAATCTAACTCTTCTCAGCCCCACTCATACCAATCTAAGCACTCTCAGCCCCAGTTCTTCCAATTAAAATCATCTAAGCCGCAGTCCTTCCAGTGTAAACCTTCTCAGCTCCAGTCCTTCCAAACTAAATCAGCTCAGTCCCAACCCTTCCCATCTAAGTACTCTCAGCCCCAGGGTTTCCAATTTAACCCTTCTCAACCCCAGTCATCCCAATCTAAGCCCTCTCAGCCCCAGTCCTTCCAACCAAAACCCTCTCAGCACCAGTTCTTCCAGCCAAAACCCTGTCAGTCCCAGTCCTTCCAACCAAAACCCTCTCAGCACCAGTCCTTCCAACCAAAACCCTCTCAGCACCAGTCCTTCCAACCAAAACCCTCTCAGCACCAGTCCTTCCAACCAAAACCCTGTCAACCCCAGTCTTTCCAACCAAAACCCTCTCAGCCCCAGTCCTTCCAACCAAAACCGTCTCAGCCCCAGTCCTTCCAATCAAAACCCTCTCAATCCCAGTCCTTCCAACCAAAACCCTGTCAGCCCCAGACCTTCCAACCAAAACCATCTCAGCCCCAGACCTTCCAACCAAAACCTCAGCCCCAGTTCTCTCATTCTAAGCCTTCTCAGCTCCAGTTCTTCACATTTAAAACATCCCAGCCCCACCCTTCCCAATTCAAACCTCAAACCCAGTACTTCCAATCAAAGTCTTCTCAGCCCGAGTCCTCCCAATCTAAGATATCTCAGCTCCACCCCTCCCAATATAAGCCTTCTCAGGTTTGCTCCTCCCAATATAAACCTCAGCACCAGTCTTCCCAATATAAGTCTTCTCAGTTCCACTCCTCCCAGTCTAAGCCTTCACACTCCCACTTCTCCCAGTGTAAGCCTTCTCAGCACAAATCCGCTCAACCCAAGTCAGTGTGGAGCAGTCTTTCACAGGCTAAGGGACACTACACAAGAGCTGGGCCCAAGAGAATAGGGAAGCATTAAAGTGCTTGCTTGCCCATTTTTCTTGCCTCGGCCATGCTTTTCATATAGAAGACTGAAGAGGAGTTGCAATTCTGGAGGAGACCATAGGCAAAAAGATAGGTAAAAGCTAATTGGATATGATTAAAATTATGGAAGAATTATGTCCCTAACCAAGAGAGAAAAGAGCAAAGGACTGAAAATAGAATAAGGTCGCAAATAAGCTAACTGAATCCAGTCATGAGTATTATGTAATATGTAACATGACTCTAGTCATTGGACATTGTTGGACAACCCCACCTTGGAAAAGAATAAGGTTGGGTCATCATCAGCAAAGTGAGCATAAAATAGGACTCAGGTTGCCTCAGTGTTGGAAGAAGGTCCTAGATCAGGCCTCCTTAAGAGTTTTCCACGTGTAATCGCTTTTTGCTTGAGAAATTTTTATGGTACTCTGGCCAGATAGGTATATAGAATAAGTATACAAGTCATACATTTATTAGTAAAGTAAAGTAAAGTAAAGGCCCTCCCGTTGTTCATCGATTTGCTCGAGCGGGCCCAGTTGATAATCATAAATGAATTTATGAATTTATTTAAAAAATGTTTAAATTTTTCTTGACTCCCCAACATTCATTACCCCATATGGGGTTTAAGAAACAAGGCACTATTTTCAATAAATTTTCATGTATGTTAGTGCTTCAATTTGTTTAACTTGACAAAATTTCTCATATATATATGTACTACACATAATACATTATATATATTATAAATACATTATATTACACACACTCATACATTATATAATATTTAATATACATATACATTACTTCTATTCATAATCAATATATTAACAATTTATGAAATTATTTTACATGAACTTAATTATTTTACATGAACTTAATGTATTAACTATGTTTCATTTAAAAACTATTTTAAATTAATATTAACATAATTTGAGAATATTAGGTTTATGCTTCCAATGTAAAGGGTATAATGGAGTTTTTCATTTAGAGTTATAATTTGTTCTAAGTTGAAAATACTAAGGTAGGTTTATAAAATTTATTTTAAAAAGCATTGGACCTAAAGGATAAGGACCAAACCTCACATGGAGTTTGCACACACACTTAATGTAGTCTGGGAGAGATATGGAATTGGAATCTTATTACTAGGAGCAGAAGAAATGATTTTGTGGAGTTTTGTGATAATTTTTCCTTATTAGAGTTGTAATACATATTATACATATGGATATATATATATATATATATATATATACTTGGCTTCTTTTTCTGATTTCAAACTTGATGTATACTTAGTTTAGATGATTTCTAAGCATAATAAAAGCAGGAAACAAGGCATATAATTTTTAAATGCCTTGAGATGTGAACATTTTTTCATTTTGTTGTCTTTTATTTTAGTCTTCTTTTTTGCCCTGTGCACATATTTAGATTGTTAGCTTTTTACATAGTTGTTATCATACACAGATAAAGTATTGTTTTGATATTTAAAAATAAGCAATGTGTCATATGATAAACATTTCCCTTGAAGAAAATGTTCACCGATTCTCAATTTAAATATGGTAGTTCAATAATATACTTTGCTAATTTTTTTTTAAAGTGTTAAGGTAGCTGGTGTGATAGTAGAGCTGGTAGGATGTTTGCCTTGCATGTTCAACCCACGCATCCCGTATGGTCCCCCAAGCACCGCTAGGAGTGATTCCTGATAGCACAGTGGTAGGGCGTTTGCCTTGCACGCAGCCAACATGGTCGACCCGAGTTCGATTCCTCCATCCCTCTCGGAGAGCCCAGCAAGCTACCGAGAGTATCTCGCCCACACGGCAGAGCCTGGCAAGCTACCCGTGATGTATTCGATATGCCAAACACAGTAACAACAAAGTCTCCAATGGAGACGTTACTGGGCCCGCTTGAGCAAATCGATGAACAACGGGAGGACAGTGACAGTGACAATTCTTGAGTGCAGAGCCAGGAGTAACCCCTAGGCATCACCCAGTATGGCTTGCAGACCCAAATAAGTAAATAAATAAATTCTAAAAAAAATTTTTTTTAAAGAAAAAGCATGAAATTCTGCCATTTGCAACAACATGGATTGCCCTAGGGTGTTTTGCTCAGTGAAATAAATCAGAGAAAGACAAACACTGTAATTTCACTCATGTGAAAAATAAACAAAGGAACAAATAAAACCATTTCAGATTATAGGGTCAAAATAGTGGTTACCAGAATGGAAGGGGGAAGGGGAAGTTAATGAGGTTAAAGGGGTGAATTACACATTGAGAATGGAAAACATGGTGCCATCTATACAGAAGTTTATTATTTATAATGTTGCACATCTGAAACCTATAAGTTTTATAGACCAATGTTACTTTGAATTTTGAAAGATTGAACTAAGTCGCTTCTGTCTTCTTGTTCTTCAACCTCCTCGGGCAATGTCCTTTTCTTTTCTTTAAATAATTTTTTTTCTCCTTTATTTAAACGCCCTGGTTTGAAGTTGCTCATGATGCATTTGTTACAGGCATTCAATGTTCCAACACCAGTCCCACTACCAGTGTCACTTTCCTTCCATCACTCTCCCCGTTTTCCCAATTGGCCCTTTTTTGTTCAGTTGAAACCAATCAACCTCATTTCCTTTAACTAAATTACAGCAAGATGAGAAAAAATTAAAAAGCACAGAGAAAAAACCCAACTTGCAGGAATGAAGAGGGCTCAGTGGGCTGACTGGGCAGCATGTTTTGATGTGGAGGCCGGGACTCCAGAACGCCAGCGCTGAGCTGGGAGCAGCCACTGAGCACTGAGCACTAAGCACTGCTGGGTGTGACCCCTCACCCCCAAACCCAAAACGAAATCCAAGACTGGGAACTGATGTCAGCTTTCTTTTCAGTTCTCTAGGTGGATCCCAGCAGTAAACTTGCCTGCCTTACAAGTGTGAGGCCAGGAGTTCATTTCCCACATGCCCTGCTGATATCGGTGGGCCCCACTGGTGGCACATGTGAAGTGGAGAGGAGAAAGACATTCGCTTTCTCCCGATCCATCTCTGCCACCAGGTCCCAGGGTTACTGGGTTCTTATCTCGCCTCCCAGAAAAGAATTTCAGGAGGGGGGGGGGGCGTTGAGGTAAAATGTATTTTATTTGGAGGTTTTGAAGGGAAGGAGGAGAAAGTGAGAGAGAGTGGCGAGTAATATGCTCAAGAGAGAATCCGGGTTTTTCCAAGGGTGGAGAGAGCCCCTGACCACATCCCAGCATCAGACGTGATGTTGGGATCGGGAGTTCCCTAGCCCTGGGAGGCGCGGAGAGACCAGATAGACACAATTCCTGCAGGAGTAAAAACGGGGTTTATTTAGACCAGCATGCTGGGGCTCCGCAGCATACCCCCAAAACGGGCAGTGGCTGAGAGCCCCGAGCTTCTTCAAAGGGGGTCTTATATAGGCCTTCACTGGCTGTTACAGCAAAGCCCGCGCATTTCATAGCCAATAGATTTGTAACAACATATACTTTCTTAACCAATCCATTTAAAAGTACCTCACTCCTTAGCCTATAGATTCAAAGATCAGCATTTACTGAAAGAATCCATATTAGGGCATCAAATTTTTGTGTACTTTAACTAACTTGCAACATTGCTTTCTGTAAAACTGCTTGGCTGCTTTGCACCTGGGGGAGAGGGGACTTGCAAAGTGAACAGGGCATAACTTCTTTCTACAAGATTCAGGTGTATTTACTGTCCCTGAAATGTATTGTCTCAGTAAAGCACCCTGCAGATTTGGGTAAAGGCTAACTCAGGATGCTGGTGGTTGGGGGAAATTGCCCTTTCCTGGAATGTATTGTCTCACTAAAGCACCCTGCAGACTTGGGTAACACAAAACGAGGATGGTCAAGGGAGATTACCTAAGGCTTAATGATTCCAGCTATAACCTTGCTTGTGCTGACAATCGATGTACGTAAATGCTGATCTTTGAATCTATAGGCTAAGGAGTGAGGTACTTTTAAATGGATTGGTTAAGAAAGTATATGTTGTTACAAATCTATTGGCTATGAAATGCGCGGGCTTTGCTGTAACGGCCAGTGAAGGCCTATATAAGATCCCCTTTGAAGAAGTTCGGGGCTCTCAGCCACTGCCCGTTTTTGGGGTATGCTGCGGAGCCCCAGCATGCTGGTCTAAATAAACCCCGTTTTTACTCCTGCAGGAATTGTGTCTATCTGGTCTCTCCGCGCCTCCCAGGGCCAGGGAACTCCGGATCCCAACATTTGGAGGTTCCACCGAGATCACCGAGGACCCTGCCCCAGGGACGCAGGATTGAGCCACGGGGTAAGTTAAGGCGCCTCTTTCTCTCTCTTTGTTTCTTTGGTACCGTTTTACTGTAGTTACCGATCGGTGACACAAGCACAGTGGTGTGCAGCACAGTGACAGTGGTGTGCAGCACACTGTTGTGTGTGCGAGCCTTGTGTCTGACAGACGTGTCGGGAATAGACACGGGCCGCAGCCCTGGGGGACGCCCCGGAGGTGGATGAGGGCCAGGGACGCCTGGAGGCCTCTTTTGTGGTAGCCTCGGAGAGGCTACATCTGGTGTGTCAGGAATCATCGGCCGCTCTATTACTTCTCTATTCTTCTTTCCTCTCCAAAAGGCCTTGCGCTTGCGTCATTCTTTTTTTGTAGGTTGGATCACGCTCGTCCTTTTTCTCTACCGAGACACCGTCTTTGGAACCATGGGACAATCTCCGTCCACTCCTCTCACTCACTCTCTCCCACTGGTCAGAGGTCTGCTCTCGTGCTCAGAATCCTTTTCTGATTGTTAAAAAGCCTAAATGGCAGACCTTTTGCTCTGCAGGATGGCCGACGTTCCAGATTGGTTGGCCCCCCGAGGGATCGTTCCACTCGCCGCTCATCTTCCAGGTCAAGGGAGTCATCTACCAGCCTGCTCCCCGGGGGTACCCGGACCAGGAGCCTTAGGCAGGAGTGCCAGGCCGGGGGGAGAAGGGGCCCCCACTTACTCTGCTCCTCCTCTGCCCCTGAACCCCGAACTCTCTATTGCCACTCCCGGGCCAGCACTGGCCTTTCCCTACTTCCGATCTCTTCACTTGGAAGAACTAAACCCTCTGGAGGTGAAAAATCATGTGCATGTCCTTTGGGCATATTTGGGAGTCCCAGGGTGACTGGTGAGTGTGGTGCACACCCGTGTGAAAGAGTGGACCGGTCCGAGCGAGTGCTTAAGTGTGATCTGTGCGTGTATCCATAGTGTGTGTATTTATTATCTTTCTCCT